GTCGCTAAATGTGTTGCCATGAAAATATTGTGATTGAACTAACGTCATAGTACATAAAGAGAGATAACTCGGCAAATGTATTCATCATTTATGTAACTTGTTGGAGTTCGTAATAAAGTTAAATAACAATATACAAATCACACTTGTACATCTAACATGCAAAGAAATAACTAAATATTTTATCAAATTGTGTAACAAATGGAGATACCTTGGGACAAATCGACATCACAGTTCATTAAGAATTTGTATATAGAAGTAATGATTAGTAATTATTCATTTAAAGAATGGTACCTGTAAGACGTTGACATTGCCAATAAAGGTTAACTTAAAATGATGTCTTTGGTGTTGGGTTCTTCCAGGCTTAAAATGAATATTCAATGAATCATATTTTTTATATGGAATTACAAAATCATATATCTCTTTACCAGATTTTTTATCAAATTGGTACTGATCTAACACATATCTTCAAGCCCATTGACAATTCATAAGAAAGAATTTTGTATTACACCATTAAAGTATTTGTTTTTGGTTCAATGTATCAATGTAAGAAGTCTATGTTTGTCCCTCATAAAGTACACACTATAACCGGCAGCACTTTAAATCACATTTGGAATAATCACATTCCCTTTGTGACCGTAGAAACCTTTTGACAGGAAGCCATAGAAGCCACTATTGGTGGACAACTCCTACCTGATAACTTACAATTTTGACAAATATCCTAGAAATTGGTCAGAAAGTTTATGTGATGCTTTCTAGGTCAAGTTTGAATATTGGTCACTTGTGTTTAAAAACTAGGTCACATAGCCCAAATATGGAAAACTCTTGTTAAAATTCTAGAGGCAACTTTTTAGATCCAAATATCCTGGAAATTGGTCAGAAAAGTTACTTTGATGATTTTCAGGTCATGTTCAATATTTGTTACGCAGCCCAAATATGGAATAACCTTGTTTACACCCTTGGGGCTACTGTTCCAGTAGAAATATCCTTTAAATTGGTCAGATAGGTTGTTTTGATGATTTATAGGTTAATTCTTAATGTTAGTCACCTGGGTTCAAAAACTAAGTCAAACAGCCTAAATATGGAAAAAAAATCTTATTAACACTCTAGAGGCTACTGATGTGTTCCAAATATCATGGAAATTGGTCAGAAAGCTTGTTTTGGTGATATCTATGTCAATTTCGAATATGGGTCATCTTTCGTTAAAAACTAGGTCACACAGCCAAAATAGAATTAGATTGGGCGTTTATAAGCAGATGAGTGATATAAGGTCATCATGACCCTCTTGTTTAACTTAACTTAACAATACAAGCATTAAAAATATTTTAACAAGCACCTTTCAGCAATATGATTTTTTTCTAGAACTTGAATAACTGAATAGCCTTCAGGTCGGAGATGGTAAAATGCTGATTTTTTTCTAAGTTACAATATTAATTATTGCGCCAATTTGTTGATCTTGCCGAGTAGCGTGCATATTTTTTCAGGTAGAATACAGTAAAAATTGTTGAATTGGTTGAAACGTTCAGCAATATTATTCTTATATCCAATGAAATATCTGTTTGAGTAACTAAATACTAGTATATATACATTTCTTATCTATATAAAAGAAACCCCATTTAGGTCCAAAAGCCTAAAATCATAAAATTTGAATTTCTTATATAGCTTACTTTTGATACTTATTAAAAACAGAAAAATAAGCTTAAGGTTGTCTTTGTGTGCTATCTTTAGCCCGATTGGAAACTTTGGCACGGAAATTATTGATCTAGACCTACATCTATTGTTTTTCTTATTGTTTCCTCGATTAGGGCATACTTGAGAACCATATGTCGCTTTTCTTGGAATTGTACTAACGTGTCACAGGAAGATTTTATAACTGCCGTATGAACTCATTTGTGTATATTTCTAGATTCCCAAGTTTTACAATTTTATGTTAAATATTGAATTCTACTGTAGTCGGTGCTATGATGCGTGTAAGGTAGCTTTCAATTCCAAGTATCGTCCATAAACAGGCTCAATCAAACCAAGCCAGTAACTTTTCATTTTACTTTTGTTTGGACCTATAGGGATTCTTTTTTCTATAATTTTACATGTTTTTCATTGCTAAAGATAAAAAACTAAACTCATGAAACTGTATCGACATGTATTTGATTTTGCATCAAATGCCTTTTCCAGACGTTAAAACATTTTGGTAACTGTTAAAAGACTATTTAGAGGCAGACAATACATGTATATATAATTGTGTAAAGGATATTTAGATCAAAAGAAGTGTACAATAATAACGAGACAACATAATAATCATTTGATTTGAAACACGATTTGACAAAACTGCAAAAGGTACTAAAGCAAAATTTGCGGGAAACAATATTGGTAAAGGGACTTGAACTAGATAGTTGTGTTACATTGGAATACAACATTTAAATAACCCTAGAATATGTTACTTTGACAATCTTTATGTTTGTCCGCGGTAGCAAAGCTATGACGTAACAAACCATATGATAAGCAATTGTGTTTTATAGAAGTATTGGCAGTAAAAAATGACTGATTTATTGTCTTTTCATAAAAAACAAAAACATATTTAATAAATTGCATGCAATTATAAATTATATACTTTATCTACTCTAAATTATAAAGTTTTAAATCGGTATTATGCTCTTTTGAAAAAAATGTTTATCATTATCTTGTGTAATAATTTCTATATACTAATATTCAAATCATGTCCGACTCCATGTATTATTTCGCCTTTTCGAAGAAAAAAGGGGGATATAGAAATGGGCTCCGTCCGTCTAACCGTTCGTCACACGTCACACCTACCTCCAATATCAATGCAATTAAATATCAACATTGCATATTGTCCGGTCCATAACTTTCTTATCCATGAAGGGATTTAAAAATCCCATACTTGGAGGACAAAGCTTTATATGGTCTGTTATACAGTATTTTTTGTTTCCAGTTCATAACTTTTTTATCCATCAAGGGATTTTGAAAATACTTGGCACAAATGTTCACAATAACAAGACGATGTGGCTTGCGCAACAACCCCGATGCCTACCTTCAAGATCAAGGCTACACTTTGTGAATAAAGGTCAACATTGCTTGACGGAATGTGTGATGTTCGGTCCATAACTTTCTCATATATTAAGGCATTTTGAAAATATTTAGCCCAAATCTTCACAATCATGAGTCGACATGTCATGCGCAACACACGAACACCATCCTCAAAGCTCATGGTCACACTTGGAGGTCAAGGCTAAACATGATCTGTTATAGGGTACACGTATATTTTTTGTCCATTCCATAACTTTTTCATAGATCAAGGAATTTTAAAAAATAATTGACACATATGTTGAACATTACAAGACAATGTGTCATGCACAACACCCGGACCTCTATCTGCAACGTCAAAGTCAAACTTAGGGGTCAAAGCTTAACATGGTCTTTTATATGGTATATTTTGTGTCCAGATCATATATTTTTTATTGTTCAAGCGATTTTGAAATTACTTGGCACAAATGTTCACGAAAATGGATCAATTTGTCATGCACAATACCCGAACCTAAACCTTCAAGGTCAATGACACAATTAGAGTCAAAGCTTAACATGGTCTGTAATAGGGTATATGTTTTGTTTAGTATATAACTTTTTTATCAATCAAGGGATTTTGAAAAAAAAATCTGGAAACAAAGTGATCCCTCGGAAGCATTAATCACAACAAAATTACATAAGAATTGCAGACTCGGTTTGTTTGAGTCTTTACATGAGGGATAATGAAAGGTGCAACATCCCTCCTGCCCCCTAGCACCGGCTTGAGCGGTACTCAATTCTCAACACCTAATAGTGCTGGCATCAATGATCCCGAAGGACCAGAAAAATATAACAACAATGAAGTGAAGCACGGGGCAACTTTTTACAGCTGCCACACAGCACTTGACACCTGCTGTTGTGAAGTATAAAAATCTTGAAACAATGTTATCCCTCGGAAGCATTAATCACAACAAAATTACATAATAATTGAAGACTCGGTTTGATCGAGTCTGTAGTATATGAGGGATAATGAATAGGTGCAACATTCCTCACGCCCCCTAGCCGGCTTGAGCGGTACTCAATTCTCACTACTTACTAGTGCTGGCATCAATGATCCCGAAAGACCAGAAAAATATAACAACACTGAAGTGAAGTACGGGGCAACTTTTTACAGCTGCCACACAGCACTTGACACCTGTTGTTGTGAAGTATAAAAATCTTGAAACAAAGTGATCCCTCGGAAGCATTAATCACAACAAAATTACATAAGAATTGCAGACTCGGTTTGATTGAGTCTGTACATGAGGGATAATGAATAGGTGCAACATCCCTCACGCCCCCTAGCACCGGCTAGAGCGGTACTCAATTCTCAACACTTAATAGTGCTGGCATCAATGATCCCGAAGGACCAAAAATAATTTTGAACCGATGTTTTCAATAATAAGACGGCTTGTCCTGCGCAACACCCAGACATCTTCCTAAAAGGTCAATTTTAAAAGCAGTCTGTTATAGGGTATGTTGCCAAGTCAGGTCCATGCAAATAAAATGTCTTTTTTGAATCGCCCGCATACCTTGATCGATGAAAAAGTTACGGACTGAACACGAAATATTCCCTGTAACAAATCGTACCGTGTATTGATTTTGTATTTGTCTTTGAAATGGTGATTACAACAATACAAATGTATTTCTGTTGACATATACACAGGAGGTATTTCATTATATTTCTTTAATTAATTTATTGTTACTTGCATGATTGTGCAGATCTAGCTTTGATCAAGATTTTGCACCGAAAGTCCAGATCCATACCCCAACCTTTTGAAATAGCACACTTCTGTACATCATATTAAACTTCCCTGATGCGGGGACGTTGGTTACTCTGGAACCAATTCTTGTTGATTATTCAGTGGCACTGTATTCGTCAGTATTTTAGATAGAAACGAATATGATTATTCAACTGACATCTTTTTTTCTCTTTTAAACAGAATATAGGGAAGCCTCAAATATTGCAGGTTGGTATCTATCTATTTTCTTTCTTATTATAGGATCATTTACTAATTTTCCGCGCTTTTTGTTGTTGTTTAAACTCACTAATCATATCAATGCCATCACTCACATGATCCTTGTGAGATGATAAACTTATGTTTTTATGAAATATAACATGTTGACTGTATTCACTTGGTTAACATCCTCTCGTTAGTTGGACTATTTGAAAAACTGAAATAAATTTAGAATTAAAAATCCTGTATGTTGTAATTAAGGTTGTAGCCATACTGAAGCGAAATTTTATATATGTATATAACTATGTTTCTAAAACAATTTTCAAACATCAAATAATATGTATAGTTGTCCACATTATATATTTATTCATTAAAATACATGTATATACATACATTTCTTGTTGAACAGTATAACTTAGACTTTATAGAAAATAAATTTCTAATTACCTCCCTTTATGAACATGAAATGAAAATTCGAAAATATGTTTACAAATAATGCTTTTTGGAACTTACAATATTGATTCATTTGAGCATCATATTTTTGATAAAAAACCATGAAAAATTGAGTTACACGATCTTTAAATAAATCGATGAAGTGACCTAAACCCACAAAATATTTACTTAGACATAAAAAGTATTCTCCATTTGCTTTATTTGGGATTTTGTTTCAATTTGATGTTCGTTGTATAATTATTCATTGTTAAACAGCAATATACTGTTTTAAATTCTTAAAAAGATAACAAATAAAACAATATATTTTTACATTTCTTTTATCAACAATTTGTTCAAACTTAAACATCAAATAATCATTTAAATTTTATTCGTGCAAAATATTTTTTCATGCTTCAACGTGCTATCAAAAGTAAACATCACTTGGACTTCGAAAATTTGAATTTAGACATTAAAAAGCATCACAAATTTATGACTAGTAATACAATTTTACACACATTTTCTGCTACATTTAGTTTAATATCAAATTTACTGTTTAAAGAGTTGTGTTACCTTTTTGTGTCACGCCAGCGTTGTTTATGCAGTGCGTATGTTGTAACAGTAAACTGTAAATTCAATCAGAGAATTTTTATTAAGTATTATAAGTTTGAGATCTATACGCTTTGGGAATGGCTTAATCTTATGTTGCTAGAACGTGTTGTCCAACCAATTTGCTTTTGTTATGTTCTCATTATTTATTCGACATGATGTATTTAATGCAATAAAATATGTTTAAACTATAAATATTTAAAGTAAAAACATGCATACTTTCTTTTGCAACAGAGTATATATCCTATGCCTTCAGGTCGTTTCTTTATTTAAACTTAAAGCATTATCATGTTAACTGATGAATTCTGATAAAACTGTTTCTAAGGGACGTGGACAGTAGCTTAAACTTGCTACCAACGCAGAAAAAAACAAATTAAAGTTTGTTTCCGGTATCTGCATAGACGTATGACAGTAATCGCAACTTTGCGGCCCTTTCCGTCAGTCTTCGGATAAGGACATCGAACAAAATAGTATGAATACACAGAACGGATACGGTATTTCGGTCTAACCTACGTCTAAGAAACTAAACATGTAAACAAATAGTAATTTAATGCTGGGAGTTGTTGACAAGTTTATTTCCAATATATCAAGTAAAAGTCTACCTAAAATAAGTGAATTCATAGATACAAAAGCGAACAATACATTATTTATTGCTGTAGATACCGAAAGTACAATATACTAACCTGTTGACATTAAGTCGGATTTGTTTAAAGGTGTACATTAGTGGACATATTTAAATCAAAAATAGTTGTCAGACATATTTTCTATCATAATTGTACCGGAACAGACTTTATCTTCTTTTTGATGTCAAATATATACATTCGTTTTACATTATCGAATATTTCTGTCTACGTCTGAAACCACGTGGTAGGACTATTGTTACCGAGGTTATTATTGCTAATAGCTGAGGATGTTCCGATCGGTATGACAGCGTATACCTAACATGTTTCGAACATTAATCTGCATAAACAAACATATGTATATTTTTCTGATACAGACGTTTAAGTTTATGCCATTCGTTATAGTGTGCAATGCTATATATGGAGAGATAAATGTTATTCCTACTAGTGATACTCAGTAAAACACCAACATTTCTACGCACGAGCACAAACTTGTCAAGCTCAACTGTTACAATTCCTTCACATTGATTTTTAAAGTATTACATTTTAGTTTTATTTAGAATGTATTTTCCTTTGAATGATAACATTTTTCTTGCCTCACTATTTTTAATATAATTATTTGTTTTTACAAATAACATTTCATTATATTTGTAATTTATTCGAATAATCGAATTCAATAAACGTTGTGATAATTGTTTTGTAACCATATCTAATCAAACGAAAATTTATCTTTCTATGTTACTTTTCAGATGCCTGTTGCCAGGTCTTACGCTTTATACTGGCAGCCATTGGTATGTATGTGTATTTTTATTGTATTTAGAAACACAACATCGGGGTTTAAGAGATTAGTCATGTTATGCTACAAGTATTGATCATCTTAATTTCTCTACATTCTTGATTTACTTGAAATACTTATTCTAACAAGATTACAGTTACAATACAGTAATATGGTTTGTTTCTTATGTAATAAGGAGTCAAGAAAATGATACTGTTATTAAGTCGTTTTCGTGGGTAAATTTATCGCTATGATCGTGACTTGAGTGTGGTTATGCGAGATATTAAATATTTTCCACGATATAGCTGAGCACAATCTATTCCACAAATAAGTTGCTCTGTTGGTATAATAACATGCACTACCCTTTATGAAATTCGCCTACTTTTGCCACTTTTTCCAAATGCAATTATATCTAAGATTGAATTTCTGTTTATTATGACTTTGGTTGCTAAGACAGCGGAAACAAAGAAATTAACAATCCCCCCCCCCCCCCTGAAGAACAGATATATATATATATAAACTTTGCATATTGCATTTTAACAAGCTCTTTAGACTATGATCATCGCTTCAAATTTAACCAAGCAATAGGTTTCCCTAGTTTTACAAAAACTTGTATAGGAAAAGCAGTACCATCTAGTCAACCAGTAGCAAAGTTGGTGAATTTTCTACCCATTGTAAAATATTTGCTCTGTCAACGAGTTGTTGTTGTTTTTTTACTTTCGTTAAAGAAGATATAACATAGGAAAAAATACTAGATAAGATTTGTCATTTTTACGAGAAAATTTCACCACGTTGGAAAAAGACCTAGTAGTTTGTGTACATGAAGCAATGAGGTCGGGTAAACTTTTGTCCCTCATTCCATTATACGAACTATGAAAGCTTTATAATTAAGCTTTTTATAAGCAGCGTAATAAGTAAACCTCTATGTTATTTAAAATCATGTCCCTAAGAGGTTGAAATTCAGGATCACTTTTGAATTGCTTGCACTTTCAAGTAGCATCCGTGGACAGGATCAGTCATCCCAAGCTAGCAACAGTTTCAGTTTTGCCGTTTTGTGTGTTCTTTAGATATTATTTTTCTCTCTTGTTTATACACACTAAAGATCACATTTTCTTTTCATTGGATCTTTCTTTATCAGTTTTTTATTCAAGTGTGTAGTCCCAAACAATATGTGTATTTGAACATTTGATATTTGGGGATAAATAGATATTCACGTTTTATTACATGAAACCCTTTTGTCATGCTACAGACTACATTTTATGAATTCTGTAAGAAAATTGCATTGAATATTTGTCTTGTAAGAATTATTAGAAATATTTGTCGTGTAGGGCTTTAAATCAGGTCACCTGAACAAAGGAAAACCTTGTTCAAACTCTAGATGTAATTACTTTGTAACGCATGAACGTGTAGTGGTAGACAATAGCCAGGTTACCAGGTCAAAGCACAGGAAATCTTTGCTGAAACAGTTGAAGTCCCGTTTATAGTAGATACTTGGCAAACTTTTTCAGAATGATCAATTGAATCTTAGTTGAGTTCGAAAATGGGTCATCAAGTCTCTAGGTCACCTTTTTTACATTATAGATGTAATATTTTCAACCCGAATATCTTTGTATATATTTGTTTGAGGTTGTATCAATAATTTCTAAAGCGTCAACTGAGGTCATAAACTAGGTGACAGCACATAAGGAGGCATATATGAAAAAAGATTTATTAACATTTGCATTTTTTTCGGGTGCAGATATGAACGTTATGATATCAGTTTAAGTTGATGACATTATATCTGCTTTTCATTTATTGCTAACAATATTAATCTAGAGCCTTAATGATAAGGTGAGCGGTATAATGGGTCATCATTGCCCTCTTGTTTTATAAAATAAGAAACCATGACGGACATTTAATCATGAAGTGTTTTTACTATTACACATATATTTTTCCGAATATTGATTTTGAAATGTGACGTTTGGCAGAAAATATTCATTAAATGTTATTATATTTCATTTAATTTGCCAATTGCATCAAATTAAGTTATCAATACTTTTTTGTTACAAAAGATGAGTGGTTAGAGTGGCAGCTATTCATTGTTCTGTTAGCTGTTCTCCTCCTCGGCAACAACGAAGACTGCAAAGGCCTTGTAAGACCAGAAAGGTAAAAGGTTATACCTTTTATTTATAATTGTCTTGTTTGACATGAATTGTACAGTTAATTTTGTTGTGTTATTTTGCAAGGAACAAGAACAGCTGTAATATCTTGCTGACAATAATAGTCGTACCAGTCGTATACAAAGCTGCAATCAATAATATCTAAATCAACAGCGTTTTAAATCAATTGAAACGCATGTGACTAATTGTTTAGGCGTCCATTAATGATTACATTGCATACAATAATTTGCTTGACATAAAATTCATGTTGTTAGTGACCTACCATTACCATCGTAGCATTGTGCATCGCAGGTAGTTTGAAATAAAAAGTCACGATTATTCAAACGAAACATCGTAAGTATCGGATGTGTTTGAAGCTTAAAAGTGACGTGCATGTTTAGTTTTTTTTGTTCTTTTTCATTATAGGGGAACGATAAGTTGTATCACCGTATATCTGCTTGGAAATGATGGGGCTCATTCTTACAATGGAAATGGAATACGATTTACAAAAATAATAAAATATGTTCGCTTAACTGACGAGGAACTTGTTGACCAGCGAGGACATGGTAAGATATTAGCTCAACAGTCAGTAAATTAACGTTTGTGGATGTACATTTGTACAGTTCCCTGCATGGAAGTTTTAAGAATTTCTTTGAACAGTCACTTTTCTTCCATTCTTATACCCAGACAAACAAAGTTTGAAGGGGTTAACTTGAGCAGTTTGCCCTTGGCCATTCTGTCCGCATTTGTAGGCCTGTGAGTGCAACTCTTACTAAAACACAAGATGGTCTTCCATTTGCTATTCTGTGCATCGAAGCAAATGTTAATTTTCCGTGCATGGTTGTCGGTATGAGAGAAAAAACGTAGCCTGTTCGAAAATCTAAAAATGTATCTTTGACTAGTCTTATTACTTGAACTAAACTGAAATTTAAAAAGAAAACCATATTGACAAAGTGGCGGGCGGATATACTTGCCAAACCTGTGGCAGTTTTACTGAGTACTTAATTAAACATGGACACAGTGTTTTCATTTTGAAAAATAATCATTATTGTTTTTAGTTTGAATCAATATGCTTGCTTTTATTATTATCTAAATGTATATGTTTACATAGCTCAAACTTAAGTTACTTTTAAATTATATTTTTACATAATATTGAAAAAGTTTCTGCTAATTTTATTGCAAAATACGCAATTCAAATTGCATAATGACAAGTTCCACATGCGAAATGCCAATTCCTAAACCAGAATGGATATTGTTGAAAAGAGAAGAATCTATCACGGAATAAATCGAATTTTTCAAAAATAAACATGGTTAATCATCTTTATACAACGTTGTATTCATGTACTCCATCTGGCTCCACAGACTCAATATATACATTACATTTCATGAATGTAAACATCAATACAACACAGATTCATAACATTTGTTTTAGTCTTTTATAAAATACTTTTAGAGCTTAATCATTTCAATTTTTAGTGACAAGCATGCCAATTAACCATTATTGAATCTAAATTAAATATATCGTAGAAAAAACATCAGAATGAGACACAAACGAATGAGTAATTTTCTACCTTCATTTTGCAATACATCACTACTGCAAACAAAAATCATGTCCGGTTGAAACTTAAAGGTATAATTAGCCTCTGTTTATTTTAATGTATTTTTGACATGTACAAATGCATTTAGCAATTTGACATTTGTCATTAAGCCTTGTCCTTTTGGAATACTCAGTCATTTCCATAGATTCTACTTTGTGCAGCAATAATCGTTCGAAAATCGTTCAAAAATGGGTAATTCGGTTAACGTACTTTTTGCAAGCTTTCATTTATATAATGTCTGCCTTAGATCTTCAATTTTATAAGTCTGTTGAATTGAATATATTTAATGCGCCACAAAACATTTCAGGAATCTGACATTTTCATCAGCTGTGAGTATATATCTAATCATATAAGCACACACATTTCAATATTACAACTTATATTTTTTGAAAACTGCAGCAAAACTACCAAGGGATGTCCTTTTACGAAAACTTACAGATAAAGAGATGGCAAAAATTTCGATGAAAATCGGAAGGGAGTATGTCCCCCTTGCTCTTTTGTTAGGATTTACGAAGGCTGAGCTTGATCACATTCGGGAAGACAACAAGTTTGCTGTTCATCGAGTTTTTGAAATATTGTTCAAATGGAGGGAAACCAAAGAAAGCAATGCTACCATTGAAAAACTTGCAGAAGCGCTTGAAGAGCTTGGTATCAATGCTGATATTATTTACAGCAGTTTAGATTAGGCTTGATTTCCGTATGATTCCTAACGCTCATCTTGATATTTACACACATATCCTGATAAAATAATTTAATACGTTTAACCAGCTGTCGATACAGAACATTACGTTAGAATTCATTTATGAATTATTAGATTAATATCATACTACATTCTGTGCAAATATGAAACGCCCAGTTTAAAGACACACTATGCCTCAGAATCAAATTAACTTCTATAGAAAGGAAATTCAACGTTTAAAAAATGGTTTACTAAGAAAAAACGTTAATTGAAAAATTATTTGTTATGAAAGTTGCAAAATATCAACAGAATATATTAAATCATTAAAACTATACTTTTTGCCATAAAGCAACAAATGAACAAGATGGTTCAGATAATTGGCCAATGGGTACTTTTTAAAACTATAAAAGTACACCAAAAATAAAAAAGCTTCAGAGAAATAAAAAAGCAATTCTGAGGCATAATGGGCATTTTAAAACAAGGTAAAAACGGAAAGTCAGTATTGGATTAATTAAGAAGCAGGGAAACAAAGATGTTGATACTAAATATTTAGTACTTTCTCTCTTATGCATATTATCACAATAATTTCATAATGTAAGATTGACAATTCCCCCATCCTCTTGTGTCTGAGGTGTTGCCTTTAAGGTTGAAACATCAGAATTGCAGTCACCGTTTATCCCTGCGTGATCGTTAGAGGTGACTGAATGGGTTCGAATCACTGGAGTTTTAACTTCAGCAGGTAATGTGGTTTTTAACCTCTTGTGCGGCTTTTAAGTTGTAACACGGTAGGTAAGCCGAAATCATCTTTCCGGTTTCTGCGCCAGATGACCTAAACAGCGCTAGTGCGCCGTAAAACCGAAAATATAATAACTTAAGATTTAAATCAATAGACGTTTTTAAAATTGTGTTGAAGTACTATCTTTTAACAGATGTTTTCATATCCCTAAAATTATTATTGTTATCAATGTACATGTATATCTCTGTTCTCTTTATAAAAATACACATTTATAATTGGATTTCGATATTTTTTATAACCCCACCACAAAATGTGGGGGGGGGGGGGGGCTATAATGGATTCGCTTTGTCGCGTCCGTCGGTCGGTCTGTCAATCTTGGCTCAAATGTTCACCTCAACAAGGGGATGTGCAGAACCTATGTCACCCTTTTGTCGGCTTAATGTCAAGGTCACACTTTAAGGTCAATAATTGAATTAGAAAATATTTTTAAATTTTAACATGTATTTGAATATTTCTGAAACTAGAAAATGTATTTGCTTGAAACTTGAAATATATATATATAGTGTCACAATTAAGATACGCTGGTCAAGTTTCATAACTCTGTATTGCATTTTAACAAAATTATGCCCCTTTTTAAGTCTTTAAATTTACATACAATCAAATATAAGACAATATGTCGTCTCTGCTCTATAAATCCTATGCTAATGGAAGAATTTTCTTCAAACTTTACTCAAATGTTCATCTCAACAAGGTTATGTGCAGAATCCATGTTACCTTTGTGCCGACTGAAGGTCAAGGTCACACTTGAAGGTAAAAAATTGACTTAGAAAATGTTCTTAAATTTTAACATGTACTTGAATATTTCTGAAACTAGCACAGGTATTTGCTTGAAACTTAAAAGATATATGAGGTGTCAAAAATAAGATATGCAGGTCAAGTTTTATAACTCTGTATTGCATTTTGACAAAGTTATGCCCCTTTTTAAGTCTGTAAATTTACATACAATCAATACTAGACAAAATGTCGTGTCTACTCTATAAATTCTATGCTTATGGAAGGATTTTTTTCAAATTTTACTCAAATGTTAAACCCAACTGGGCAATGTGCAGAACTCATCTTACCCTTGTGCCGGCCTATGGTCAAGGCCACACTTGAAGGTCCAAAATTGACTTTGAAAATGTTTAGTACATTGGGAAAATGAAAGGTTATTTGTAACTGTTTCGAACATGATTTAACAATATATATTTATACTGTTACCAGTACAATTAGTCTTTTTTTACCAGAGATATGAGGTATGATATGTTTTTATCTGATGATCATTTTTAGTATCTTAGTCTAATATAATGTAAATTGAAATAAATATGGATTGTAAACTATGGGGTATCACTGATACACCTTAACCATCATATGGTGTGAAAAATAGAACATACGGTTTTATTGTTTTATATTGAAAACAATGTAAAGTGTAAGACAACACGCTTTGAATATGCAAAAAATGTATGGTATATTAGGGACATTTTATATGCATTTAGAAAAAATGAATAATGAAAGTTTGGTATAGAAAACTTGAATATAACTGTAATACATATATAGAAATAACAGTATTAAAAGTAGGAAATGTGTTTTATTAAACAAAAATAGTGATGCTTGAAATTTGTTGAATGAATTTTGTATTTCGTATTCATAGACTAATCAATTCTTATAAATAATCAGCTTAATAAATTGATAACATGTATAAAAGGAACTATATTTACAAAATTTAATACAAAATAAGATTAGAAATTCACATAATTATATTTTTAAAGAATGAAAATGTTTCTGAAACATATTTGGTCTATGGAAATAATTTAAATAATATCGTACTACTTTTTGTCAATTTAGGTAATCTGCTTATAAATTATTGAGGAATATTGATATACATGAAAAACTCCTATGTGACTTTTAATTAAACAGTTGTTTATTATGCAAGATTTCACAAGCCAGTAAACATTAAATGTCAAAAACAAGCAGAAAAAAACACCATCGTCTAACACATTAATTTTGTTTAACAGTTGACCTATATTTCCTTTTCATTTCATTTCTTTTAATCATTGACATAGAACCGTCTATTAGTGTGAAATCAATCATTCTGTAAATAATAATAAGTGTTTAAAATATATTTCTTTGAATGAACTTTATTAATGCTTTGTCAAAATAAAACAAAAGATCTTATTTTCATAAACCTAATCATGCTGTGTACATAGTGTTTTTTAATTGTCAACTTATTATTGTAAACATTCTATCTTTGTGTTGTTGCTTTCATTTATATATTTGGATGGATTTGTTAATAAAATATATCATCTGAAGTTGTCTCATTTCTTACTAAAAGATGCAAGCCAGGTTAAAATCTTTGTTAAAAGATAAGAACTAATATTCTACGAGCTCTAGTGATATGGGACATTAAAATTTACACTAGTGTACATATTTTTTTATCAATAACTTATATTTTCGCAAAAAGGAAGTAAGTAGAGAAGCCATGTCATCAGTTAATATATTTGCAGCCAGTACTGATATTAATTGAATACATTCATGAAGGGTCACAAGCCAGCTGCTTAGGAGACTCAATTTCAAAAGTTATGTTCGTTTTGCAAATACCCGTAGTCCCCGTGTTGTCTGGTCGTCCTTCAACAATTTTGTGTCTGTTCTACATCTTTTTAACTTCTCATAGGATTTTCGTATTACCTAACTCAAATGTTTATCCTATCGAAACGATGGTAAAGACCGGGGTTTCGTGTACCAAACTGCAAGAGCAAGTGTGCAGAATCAAAGTGATATGTAAGGAAGCAATTTTTAAAAGCTTTCTATATTATTAAATATTATTTAAGGACATA